TATTTATATTTACATTTATATTTATATTTATGTTTATATAATAATTCAGCTTCGACACTTATGGGAAAAGTTTCATCGTGTGAATTATTGCCTTAAAGTCCAATTTTTTTCTGTTACTCAAATGCTTTGGAGTAATCTGGCTATTGAGGTGTTTGTTTTGGTGAGGCATCTTGAACCATTATTAGCATTGGTAGGAAATTCCGATGATACAGAAGTATAGGTCTGTAATGCATGTATTCAAATATGCATATAAGTTCTTTCAAGCTTCTTTAGTTCAGCAGCACCAATCTAGGATTGTGAGCGTTTTGTGTCTGACTACTGCTGGTGTTTAAAGTTGGTACGAAAATTGATGGTTCAGAAAATAAGTTTACAGGAAGTTTTCAGTTGTTATAAATGTATAAAGTTGGCAAATGGAGTCATCCTCGACGCCATTACCGTATAGTAGGAAGCGTTTTGATAGGCGTTTGGTCGAAAAATTAAACGGAGGACGAAAAAGACTGAAGAAATGCTGTGGCCGTATAGATGTTGGTTCTAGTTGCTTGAGTGAGGTAAGGAAGTTTACTATTCGGAACGCTGCATTTATTTTTATTAAGAACTTAGTCTTCATAATGAAATCTTTGTCGGCGAAGACAGTGAACTTCACGGTACCTTGAACGTTTGGTGTCATAGCTGTTGGAACTGCTACATTTTGCTGGTGTTGGAACTGATTAACTGCGTTTTTTCCGTTCACTCTTTTTTCTTTTCAAGCATCGAGTTGTTTATTTGCCGCCCGAATGCATACTGAGGATTCTGGAGTTTTGTGATGCAAAAACAGTTTGTCTGTTCTCGCGTTGCAGTCGTACTGCACAGAGTTTAGTTGAACGGTATATTAAGCGATTGGCTATTCCAGAATTCAGTGTAGGGTAGGTTTTTTTTAACGGTAGTTTTTTTTTGTTTCTTTTCTTACTTTGGCTTTTGTTTTCCTTAATTGACGAATGTTTTAACAGTTTAATTCTTTTGCAGAAATTTACTTTTGAGTAACGTGTTTTATTTCTTTACAACAGAGGAAGAAAAGTTTTACTCTGTTGTTTACTCTATACTAGTAGAGGGAACAGTGAAGGAAATTACATAGTTTTTTTGCTGCTAAATTTACGATGGCTATTTTTTAAAGCTAGGATAGGTTTTATCTGAGGAATTTCAGTGAAACTGTTAAAGATACTTAGTAAGCCTTGCTTTGTTCTGGAGAAGGACAAAATGAAAGTTTATTTCATTGCTTTTTTGCGACTTTACAGGATCTTCAACCATCGTGGTTTCTGCTTGCGAGATGGGTATGTTGCAACGAAGAAAATCAAGAATTTTGATCTTCTCGATAATGAGTAGGTTTAGTTGTTGTTGCATCTTAGGGGGTGTGCTCTCAGAAATTATAAATTTGGGATCGTTGGTAGTGGATTGTATTAAGTGTGGATTTTCCACATTTAACCTTGGTTATAATGACATTTTTTCAGTATGATCAACCTTTCATCTGCTGATGATTCAGGTCCTTTTGAGGTTGAATGTTACAGACATAAATCTCACTGTGATGACCAGTTTTGCAAACATAGGTAGGTCTCGTGGTTTATGCTTGAATGGAAGTTATTTCCATGTCTCATTTACAGGATCCTTTATCGCCATAACAGTTCCGGAATCTTTATCTTTCCCGACGTTGACCCTCTGCCTACCGTCCTTAACTGTCGGTTAGTTTCTAGCTTTTTATTTCTTTTGTACTGCCGACAGAATTCGCTTGTTTTCTGCAAAATTTTTGATTTTAATGAGAATTTTCTTTCTCTTTTTGTTGTGGGCTCGTATCTGATCTTTTATAAGCATTAATGGCAAGCGTTGTTTATCAGAATAAGGTTTAAACAGTTATTATTGTTTTCTTTTACCAATATTTCTAGATTTTTGTGAATGTTTAGAGCGCTATTGTTGATTAAAAAGGCTTTTTGGTGCTCTGCCTAAAAAGGTTCACCTAATGAGTCACATAGAAAAATGCTGGACGCTAATAACTTTTCTATTTATTGTTTGAGGATGTTGTAGAGTTTAGGATTAATTATTTTATCAAAGTCTTTTTAGCCATAAAAAATTGAGGTTGGAAATTAACTTGTGCGGTATAACTACGAAGGAGCTGGCAGTTATTCATCGAATAATCATTAGTACAGAACCCTGTGAAGTAAATCTTGATCTGTATCCCATGAAGCGATATAGGTCATCTGCACTTCAACCGCAACATTTTCAGCGAACATATCCCTTCCATGTAAGCTTTTCAGCTCTCTCCTTATCACCTTTAATTCTTTTCCAGTTCTGTAGAGGTGCTTTTATTCTGAAGTAATTATAGCTTTCAGAGAGGATTAAATTACTAAACGACTATTTTCTGGCTTTGAGATTAATTCAGAATTGTTTGCAGTATTTTATGACAGATGCTGAACCGCAGCTATGTGTGCGATTTTGGAGCATTTTTCGAGAGAGAGTGTTCGCCATTAATTTACGAAATACCAACCTGGGCGACTGGCTTGCAAGCTTCTTCCTTGACTTTCTTGCTCAAGGAAATGTGGATCACTCATGGTTTGCTTTTCCACCCTTGGGAACGAAGGAAGATGAACCTATTGCTTTTGCCATTATTCGTCTTATCGTTGAAGTTAGTTGCAACTTCCAGTTTTGTCAGTTTTACTGTAATTATATTTGCGCCATTTTAGATGCAGTTTTTACCCAATCATTGAAACACTGACGGGTACTACCCCCTAAATTTTCATGCATTTATTTTTATCATTTTGCTAGTGAGGAAGTCATTCACCTTTTGATAGTGTTTAACCCAGCTTTTTGAGCTGTATCTTTAGTTATTTTCTGACTTTTTTACTCTTTTTATTTTTTTCTCTCGATCTTTTCATACATTTTCCAAAGGTAAGGGGGGTTGCATGTGAAAGCCTTATTTGGTTTTAATAGTTTCTCAAATATTAGTTTTTGATCATGTTCAAAAAGTTAGGTGAGGAATTTTTTAGCAGTGTAGGAGAATGTAGACTTCAGAATTATTCTAGCAGAAAACGTTCTGTAAGTCTCTTGTTTTTTACACTTGGCTTTTTTGTAGTAACTACTTTTTTAGCCGAATTATAGACTTTACATTTCGGAGGTATTTGGCCCAGGAAGGTTAATAAGGAAAGTGTTCTCGTTACAGAAATTAAAGGCCAATTATTTTTTTATTTGTATGTCTACTTTTTTATACTTTTAAATTTGTTATTAAGTGTTTTTATTTGTAGTACAAACTTCGATTTTTAAGCACATTCACTTTTTCTATGGGGAAAAAAAGGTTAATCCTGTTGTAGTCAGCAAATTAGTGGAATAATTATTCGGAGGGTTCTCTATGGAAAATGAGCTGTATCAGAATTTGAAAACGGCGATTAAGCGGTGAAAATTGATCATTTTTTGACTTCTTTTTTCATATTGAAAAGCACAGTTTAGAAACAGTTTTCGATAATAATTCAGAATTGGCAATAGGTTTTGTAAATTAAGGTCTGAAGTTTCAAATGGGCAGTTGGTCGTCATCTGAATGTAAGCTGAAAGGTTGGATAGTTCACGAGTCTGTTGAATTGTAACGAGCGATACGTATAGACTTTGGTAGAAAATTTTTTCAGCGCTGCAACGAATTAAAGATCGCATTGTCCCTTGTAGGGAAAAATGGGTACTGTTTGGTAACTGGAGAAGAGCTAAGCAGTAGACGGTCATTAGTCAATCCCTGATTCAACTGTAAGCGTTGTTCGAGAAGAATTTGTGGGAGAATCAACTAGAACTCTTCTAATTCTTAATGAGGAACTGCATACTGAGATACTGTACAGGATTAGAGGGAACTTGGTTTTGGATTAGTGAAGTGAAATGATATGAAGTTTATTCACATCCTCGCATCACCTTATTCTTCGTGATTGACTTGGGTTTTCTCAATAAAGTTTGGTTCTTTGTAATGAAAAAAACTATTTGTGGCTTGGAGGATATGAAAGATGTTTTGGGCAGTTTTTGACCGCTATGACTGTGAGTCTCTATATTAGTGGAACTTCAGAGGAGTTATCGAGTCGACAACTGTTTGCTGATATTTGTAGTTTTTACCTAAATGAATAATTTTGAGCTAGAGTAAGTAGGGGTACAGTCTGTTGAACGTAAAGAATATAAATTAGCTGTTATTTATAGGTTCGGCTAGTCATTTTATTTCTTTCTTTTTTGTTTTGAGGTGGGTTATTTTTTCAAACTTCTGATTTTCTATTTGAAAAAAGTGGCATTTTTTGTTGTTTTATTTTTCGCCAGTAATTATTGCTACTTTAAAAGGTATATTTTTGCTTTTGGTTTTGACTTTTCTGTCCAAATTTTCAAAGTCAAAGGTTTAATTCTGTGATTTGAGGCGACAGAACATTTAATTAAGAGTTTTTTCGCATATTTTTATGTTGTAGGATTCTTTTTAAATATTTTTAGAACGTTTATTTGATTGAATATATCTTCAAGAGTTACCAGTTAATTGTTCTCACTGTTTTGAGGTATACCTTATATACTTTTTGTCTGTAGTTTAAAAAAAAATGTTGGAAATTACTGACAGAAGTGGTTACAATTTGCTTATTATTGTTTTACAATATTTTCAGAAAGCTCCTTCTGACCTGGTAGTTTATGGAAAAGTAATTTTTAAAAAAAAATTACTCTTCTTATGCAGACTTGTTCACTCAACTTCCTTTTTTTTTGGTTACAAATTGTTGCCGTTATAATTTTCTAGAAAAGGTTTTTCAGATGGTTGCTTCACAGAAGATCAGTTAGTAACTGTATTGCTATACTTATTCATTACAGTAATGTTCAGATTCGTGGTAATGATGAAATAGAGTTTTAAAATGTGTTTTATTCCTTTTTCTTTTCAAGTTCCAAATCGGCTACAGTGTTGTAGAGCTGTACCGTCTGAAACTTCGACGAAAGTATCTCTTTGATGAGTTTGTTTAAAAGATACAAAATTTTAGCAATGGCCATTTTCCAATACTACGCCAATTCGTGCAATGGTGACTCTTCCTCACTATGTCGATGTCGACACCAAACCTCAAAACTATGTTCCAAACGTTCATTGGACTTCATCAGCAAGCGGAGGCGGTCCTCAATGCACAATTAAGCATAAGAATTTGCCCTTAAATATGAAAATACGTTTGTTTAAAGATAGGCTCTTTTTGTCAATTGAGGATTCAGAACGTGAAGATTTTTCTGGCTAGTGGTCGTGTTACTTTTTTTGCTTTTGTTATTGTTCACTTAAATATTTCTTACAGTGTTGTTTTCCAAATCATTTATCCAAAAGGATTTCATTTTTTCTTTGCAGTTAACCGTTTGTTTTACTGCTATGCAGTTGGTTAAAGAAATTAAAAAAGAAATAGTGGAATTGTTGGCTGCAGAATTTAACTCCTTAAAGAGGAGTATAATAATTTGAATTTAGCTTCATTCCTTGTGACCATTTCTTTTCATTACTACTTTTCTCAAGAATTGAAACTTATAATTTACTTAGTTAATTGATTATAAGACTTAGCAATTATTAAGTTGTTTTAGAACAATAAAATTAGTTTTGGGCTTTTACTATGCTGATTTTTTGTGAAACAGTTGGTGGTGAATCTTCGTTGATTTAGTGTTAACTGCTTTCTTCATCTGGCGTTGGAATAGAGGCTCTCTATTTGGAGATTTTGTTGTGTAGACCGTATGAAGTTAATGTACTCATTAGTGTTTTCTGTAGAACTTTTTTGAGGGGGATAGAAGATAGAAAAGGTGCTGGACAACTGGTAGATTTTATCACTGTGATCCTTTCTTTTTTGAAGATGATGTTGAATAGGTCTTAAATTTGGTAACCTTGAAATTATGGTATCTCATGGTTTTTTACTCTTTCGTATTTTAATTCTATTATTTTACCGTCGTAATGATTACCGCGTTGTTACTGTAAACATTGTTGTTATGGTTGCTTTATTATTTGCTATTATTGTATTGCTAATATTATTATTCATTCGTTACTAGTATTGTTGTCGTTGTTTTTGTTGCTATTAGTTTGAGTATTATTATAATTATTGGTATTATTGTGCTTACTGTTTTTCATTGTTAAAAAATCTTATTAATCGTACAGAATTAGAAACTGTTTTTTTCATTGGCTCAGGGTTCTGATCATTCTGGTTCATAAATTGGTGATTCTGCATGTAGAAATTCTGTTCACCATGTGATTAATTTGTATGTGTATTTTTTTTGCCTACCCGCCTGCATGTACTGTACAGTGATTGATATTTATGTGTACTATATTGATATATTTAATGTATCCTCCCTTTTAAGCATTTGGCTGCAACTTCTCATTGCTTACTGCAAATGGGTTTTCAGCCATTATAAACGTGTGTATGAAGGGTAAACATTATACTGTCAGATAGCTTTTTTTTAAATTTAGTTTTCGGGTTTTGCGGTAACGAAGATTATGCACTAGTTGAAAGCGGCAGAATTGTTGCTGTTAATGAGATTTGTGGGCAAACAGAAGTCACGTTGTGAAGCAAAGCAGGAAATCTCTGTCTGTTACTGAAGAGGTGGGAACCTTTCGAGATTCCAGGACTTACTATATACACACGTATCAAAGCTAGTTTGGCTTACTTTTCAATTGTTTTTACCTGTAATTTTTATTCGACCAAAGCACAATTAACAGCTTTCTATAACTTCACTCGTCATCAGCAAATATATCTCGACGGCAACAGGATGCCTTATCTTGTTCAGCGGTGCCTTGATCCGCAATACTGCTGAAGAGTATATAACAACGGATATTAAAGAAGTAAAAAGAAGAACTTGACGTTTAAAAGTAGAAGAAGAAATGAATGACTTGAATAGTTATGTTGTAGCCAAAATGATTGATGAAAATGTGTTGCAGAACCGAAAATACGGAGAAGCAAGATTAAAACTGCAAGAAACAGATAAACTTGAAAGCTTTTCTTTTGTTTGATAATGTCTGCACATAAAGGATACAAAAAAAGAAAATAGAATTTGTACAGAATACAAAAAAAAGAAAACTTTTACATTGTTTTTTGAAATAATGAAAAATAAAAAATAAAAAATTG